CTCTCTCTCTCTCTCTCTCTCACACACACACACACGCACACACTTATTCTGTGATATAACCGTGGGCAGTTTTGACGGTCAGCACACAGCAGTGATTTACTCAGGGTAATACATGTCAAATAACTCCAGGCCTCAGCTAAACACCATATTAATAACGTGCGTTCTTGCAGAATTTATTGAAAACTTTTTGTCCATCCATTTGTGTTTGTAAAATTTAAAAATGAAATGTACTTAATAAAAAGAAAAAACACTTTAACACTTTATTTTATAGTTTGTGCACACACTTACCATGTACTTGCCAGAAGTTAGTACCTATAATTATTATTAGAGTAAGTATACAGTATGTACATGCAGAAAAATAAAGTGCTTCTGAGAACAGACTAATAACAAAAACAGAATCACTAAGTAATGGATACTCGTTATGCTACTGCAGTTTCATTTCAGTGACCTTGATCTCTTGACCTGCATGACTTATAGCTTCTCTTATTTGTTGTTGTTGTTGTATGTACCACACAGCTGGTTATAAATACACTTTTGAACTACAATAAAGAAAACGTTGTATTAATGAAATGTTTGTGTTATTGGTTTTATTAATTATTCCGCAGTGATGCTGTTGAGGAACCACTTTGTTTCCTTTCAGGAAAGAAACTCTCAGGAGACTGTTCTTCAGATTAATAAAAATGTTGTTCACAATGCTTATCTCACTTTTAAGAACCTTCTGTCCAATGGACAGCTTAATATAAATACACTTACTAGCACAAACACTTTTTAAAAACTGATTTTAAGTTTAGCCACATACTCAATCAATGTAAACTCAGCACACCTGAAATGACGATAGGTGCATGGGAACAAAATCAAACAAACAGTTGAATAAAAAATAAGTAACGAACCCGCACACTATCAATACTTTCTAATTCTTAAACTTTATTTATCACAGGCAACGTTTCGGTCCACCGACCTTCATCAGGCAAATGTATAGAATTATAAACAAGCCATAATTATATACTCTCCCAACCAATGAGTGTAACTGACAATCATATGTGGACTAATCACAAACACATACGTAATAGATAACAATAGCTCAAGTATACAATAGAACACACTTTACAACATCCCCAATGAAAAATATATAATTATTCACATACAAAAATAATGATATTTATAAAATCACAATAGGGTATCAGAAAACGCACATCTTAACAAGGTTTTAATACCATCCCCTTGTTTTTAATCAAACTGACACTTAGATATACAGCAAACACACTTTAGAACAGTCCTCTTCTTAATAAAAGGGTATCGATATCACCACCTCTTGGTGGAACAGACACCTTTTCAATTCCCAAGAGACGTAGAGCAGACACATCATGATTAAAAGAAATGAAATGTGCAGCAACTATCTTTTCTCCTAATAGAGCTCTTGTGTTCACTGATCCTTTGTTTTAACTGTCGAGATGTTCTTCCCACATAACAAAGTCCACATGGATATCGAATAAGGTATACAACATGGGTTGAAGCACACGTGATCACAGAGTTAATTTTGTATTTTTGACCTGTTCTTGGATGACAAAAAACAGACGTTTTAAATGTATTGTTACACTGCACAATTGCCACAATGATAATTTCCCTTCTGTATAGGACTCAATAAGGTTTGGGATATAGGAGGAGTGGTTCTTTGAAAGCTCCGCTACTGTGAGGAGCACGGAGCGAGGAACGAGGAGATGAGGAGTTGACTTCAAACACAGAGACTTTAATAATATTTGAGGAACCAGGAAATCACACGTAGCAGGTAAAGATGACATTCACGCGCCACACAACATCCAATGGGGAGGGGGGGTGTGCGCTCTGGAGGCCCCTCAGGACTGGCTTACACTGGACGGCAGGCAGAGCGGGACCCATTTCGGGCGGATCAGACAACTCGGAGAGCCATGGCGGAGCTCCATGGCCTTGACCTCGGCACTCAGCCCGGCCTATAACCCCCCCGCCCCGAAAAATACTTGGGGGAAATATCAACCCCTAAGGACTGATTCGGGAACTGTGGCCCTCCCTGGGCTTGATTTGGGGACTGGAGCCCTCTCTGGGCTAGACTCAGGGACTGGAACCCTCTCTGGGCTAAACTCGGGGACTGGAACCCTCTCTGGGCTAAACTCTGGGACTGGAACCCTCTCTGGGCTAAACTCGGGGATTGGAGCCCACTCTGACCGGCGGGCTTGACTTCGGAGCGGCCGGCGGACTTGACGGCGGGCTGGTTCTGGCTCGGGCTGGATGCTCTCCAGACACCGGAGGATCCCTTCCCTCCAGCTTAGTCGATGGTAATTGGCCCCGTGCCAGAACAGAGAGTTGATGGTGGCGTCATCTGAAGCCGTCGCCGTGGCGAGCCCGCAGAACTCCCAGGCATACTCGACGAAGGGGAGATCACTACGGGCTAGGGCAATGAATCGAGCGGTGATTTCCATAATCGCGGGGGGGAAAAGGAAAACAAAATCTTTCAACACGAAAGCAAAAACACGGGGAGAAGGAGCGCCGCTTACTGTTTGCTTTGGTCTGGTATACTGTCACGCTCCGCTACTGTGAGGAGCATGAAGCGAGGAACGAGGAGTTGACTTTAATAATATTCGAGGAACCACTAAACTCTGGGACTGGAACCCTCTCTGGGCTAAACTCGGGGATTGGAGCCCACTCTGAGCTAAACTCGGGGACTGGAGCCCACTCTGGGCTAGACTCTGGGACTGGAGCCCACTCTGGGCTAGACTCGGGGACTGGAGCCCTCTCTGGGCTAGACTCGGGGACTGGAGCCCTCTCTGGGCTAGACTCGGGGACTGGAGCCCTCTCTGGGCTAGACTCTGGGACTGGAGCCCTCTCTGGGCTGAACTCGGGGACCGGTGCCCTCTTTGGGCTAAACTCGGGAACAGGAGCCCTCCGTGGGCTAAACTCAGGAACAGGAGCCCTTCGTGGGCTAAACTCGGGGACAGGAGCCCTCTTTGGGTTAAACTCAGGAACAGGGGCGCCGCTTACTGTTTACGGTGCTGTCTTCGGTCACGATGTGCCTACTGTGAGGAGCGAGGAACAAGGAACGAGGAGAACGCAGGAGAATCATAATCCACAGTCTTTATTGACATCTAGGAACTCACGGGACCGACGT